GGGTTAACGTTAGCGTTATGACCGTTCCCACTTGGATCTGCTCGAGGGCGTCGCCGTATTTGGAGGCCATCACCTGGCCATTGATGTTCACGTAGTCGTGGGTGGCCAGCCAGCAGCTCCGCTTGAAGTCCAGCAGGGAAATGGGTGCGCTCTGCGGACTTGCAGACAGAACGCCCAGGCCGAGAGTGCCCTTCCACTTGTTGTTCAGGGCGTCCACCTTGATGCTGATGCTCTCGCCCTTGCACAGTGGCTTATTGAGGCACACAATGGCCTGGTTATAGGACTTAATCCTGGTCACACTCCGCCGATCCTCACTGAGCCGTGCGTTCTTCTGCGAAACATCCAAAAACTCGTAGTTCTGCGCCTCGGAATCAATGGATTCCAGCATCGAACTGTCCTGCTTGTTCAGTGGATCCACGCCAAAGTCCATCGAGTCCTGCAGCCGCAAACTGCAGGGGCGTAGGGGCGAGGCTGGCCCCTGGGCGGATATAACCTGAATACCCATTGTGGAACCTCTTAGCTCCGCCACCACGTACACATCGTTGGGCACGTTCTGGAACTGAATGTTCACGTTCTCCGAGTTCAGCAGTATGTTGAGCGAGTTCTCCACCCGCTCCAACGTGATCCTATCGTCCACCCTCAGCCACTCCAGTGAGGCCAGCGAGCGCTGCAGGCAGCCGGAGTTGAAGCACACCTCGTTCCCGCTCACGTACCACACGTTGGCCGGAATCCGCCGCAGACTGGTGGGCAGCTTCTTGCGCACGCTCTCGTCGCTCAGATTCAAATCCGTGACCCCAATACTTAGGCAGCCTAAGGAAGATTTTAATTAAAACGTATTAAGTAGTTTAACTTGTAACTTTAAAATTTTAGAAACATTTTTTTTAAATTTCAAGTTGAATTTAAAGCTTTAAAACCATTTTTAAAATCGGAGACTAAAATAATTTAAAAACTACAGATACGATTTTTATGAAATTTTAAAATATAACTTAAGTCGTTCAAATCGAAATAATATGTATCATATATTAAAACAAAGGGACCCAAAAATTGGGATTATCAGCTATTGATTCAAACCTTGGTCGTTTTATAAATACTTCGAATAAATATTATTTGTAAGTGTTATTTAACTAAATATTATGATGTTTTTCAGTTTATAATCAAAAGAAGAGAATGGATATTTAATTAGCACACCTTATTAAAATTATTATTTTAAAAAAAAATAATACAAAAAATATTTAATTTTATATAATATTTGTATTTTTAGATATTACATTGATTGATTGTTTCTGTTTAAAAAATCTCGGATATTATTTGATTATATTTGTGAACTTAAGATCATCATCCGGAGTAGAGTAACTCACCCGAAAACATGGGATTAATTGATGTCAGCTTGATTTCGAAGGGTGAGCCGGCGCTGAGGGGATGCTCGGAAAATACCAGGCAATGGGAGAGTGGTGCCGCAGCTCCCGTAAAGCGAGAGGCCTCCGTCCAATCTTTGGTGAGGCTTACGTTGCCCGAGACGCAAGTCCAGCGGTGTTTCGTCTCCATGGCCGGGTGCTGGATCACCGATGTGGCCTGGCAGCTCTGCGAATTCTCGCTGGTGGCGTACGGAGCACGGATGTCCAGCTGTGTCTGCGTAAGACTCACCTGGGCGCACTGTCCGTACAGGTCAATGATGGCCCAAATGTTGGGCGCATGGCACTCGCAGGCGGGCCCCTGATCCATTCCATCCACAAAGAAATGGATAAAGTCACCGTTGCGCATGACACCCACCCGGGTACCTGGTCCCAGGGTATCGAGATCCAGTAGAATATTGGTGCGTATGGTTTTGCGGTTGTGGAAAATCATGGGGCCGCACAGGATGATGGTGTCGCTGGCCTCCAGATCGGTGGCATTTGGCGCCAGTTGGATGTCCTCCGGTCGCGTGCCCGTCACCCCGATCTCGATGTTGCCCGACCAGTGTCGCACCATCGTCTCCAGCTCCACTTCGAACAGTTCCCGCTGCCTCAGTGGTCGATTGCTGAAGACGATGGCGTCATTAAACTCTGCCAAGGAGTTGGGACGCGAAGCAGTCAGGCCACTGTTCGAGATGCCCGCATTGGCGCCGTGGATGCTGTGGAAGCGCAGCGGCACCTCACTGTACAGTGTGGTATTCGAGATGGTGGAATTTCCGGTGTCCGGACTTCCGCACTCCGACGTGTCCACGATGCTAGCCTGCGCCGCCTGCCCGTACAAATCGATTACGCCGTAGACGCGCTCCGGCACATTGCTGGCAGCCGGACCCTGGTCCACTCCATTCACCCAGAAGTGCACCGTGCCATCGTCCTTGCGCACCACGCCCACTCTATCGCCCACCTGCAGTCGATCCAGATTTTGGCCGTATTGCTCGATTACGGTTACTCCGTTCTGCATCACCCCATTTCCGGTCATCATCCAAGTGCCGGAACTGGTGTATAATGTTGGTGTTTAATATAATTTAAATTGGGAAGTGAACCAAGACTCACCGAACATTGGTCATGGTGAAGGGAAAGTCCAGCTCGTCGGCACTGTGCGTGGTCACACCCATTTCAACGGAGCCCGCCCATTTGGTCACCACGCGTTCAAGTCGCACCTGGAAGAGTTCGTTGGGACGGAGGGGCCGTCGTGTAAGCACCACGCCGTTGTTGAAATCATCTGCAGCACTGCAAAAGGTTTGAAAAATTGTTAAAATGTATAATACATTGTTGTTAACAAAACCATAAACCAAAGAGGATAACAAAAACTAGAAACGAGAGTTGAAGTTGCAGTTCTAACAACCTTGCGTTCAAAGGGATAGATCCAAAACGATATTTTATGCAATTAATGTTTCTATGTTTTGTTTAGATCATTTTAAAACTAATAGTATATTCTCCGACTCACTTGGGGCGCAGAGCTGTCCGCCCACTTTGGGTGACGGTGGCGTGGGTGCCGCAGATGTGGTGGAAGGTCAGACGATCATCGTTCCGGGCGATGGCTCGCGTACTGGATATGGTCTCGCTCAGACCGCCCGCAGCCCCGGCCACATTCATCTCACTCTCCGGACTAAGAAGGCTGAGGGTGGGCGTGCCGGAGTGGTGCTGGTGCTGGTGCTGAGGATGCGGATGCGGAACACCGGCTCCACTGGAGCAGGCATTCATACCAGCCACAATATTGTTGCGCCGGGTCACGAGATTCTGTTGCTCACGCTCGTCGCGGTCAACGATTGTAACCTTAATAGTCATTCCGTAGAGATCAATGACGCCCCACAATGTAGAGGCCACTCGGGTGGCGGCCACACCCTGGTCCTGCCCGTTGATGTAGTTGTGAAGGTTGCCGTTGGCCTTGCGCATCATGCCAACGCGATCGCCCTCGCGCAGCTCGTCCAGATTGAACTCACCGTACTGGCGGCGCGTGCCCTTGCCGTTGGTCAGGATGCCACAGCCCGACATCATGATGGTGCCCGAGCGCATGTTGGTCATGGTGGCCGGAAAGTGCAGCACCGTGGGGTTGTGCGTGGTGACGCCCACTTCAATGGACCCCGACCACTTGTCCACCAGCTTGTCGATGCGGATCTCGAACAGTTCGTTGTCCCGCAGCGGCCGGTGGGTCATCACCACGCCGTTGTTGAACTCGTCCAGCGGCCGTCGGCGTTCGGCCGACCGAAAGTTGGGTGAAAGCTTGACCAGCGAGCCACAGCGGGTGTGGAAGCACAATCGGTCATCAGCAGCGGAGATGGTGCCAGTGCCTTGCATCCATGCGTCGGCATCCACTACTATGTTCACGTTCATGGCGACGTCCAGGTTCTGGACAACCTGTTGCAGCGGCTGTTGCAGTGGTGAATCCAAAAGCTACAATATATATATGTTTAAGTATGAATTTTTCCATGGCACATAAATTTGGCTAACCTCTCCGGAACCGCTTCCATCGCGGGGACATAGTGAGACCTGCACACAACGCCCGTAAAGATCGACGAGGGCCCACAGCGGCTTGGGCATATTCTTGGCCGCCACGCCCTGCGACTCACCGTTCACATAGAAGACCAGGTCGTTGCCGGAGGTGCGCATGACGCCCACCCGATCGTTCTCGTTGAGCGTTTCCAGATCGGTGCCGTAGAACTCGAACAGGCGTCGCCCATCCTTGCGCACATCGATGCCGGACATGACCCAGGTGCCATTACGCATGGCAGTGGCACAGGCCACCAGTTCCAGGTCATCCGGCGACTCGGCAGTGACTCCGATCTCAATGCTGCCGCCCCAGGAGGTGTTCTGCAAGGGAGGGTGTTTTATTAACTACTCTCTGTAGGGCATTGTGCAACCCACCTTCTTTTCGATGACCACCTCGAAGAGAACGTCATCCTCGAGGGGTTCGGCACTGAACACCAGTGCATGACTGAAGTCCCGCATGGAGCGCTGGGCCATCCGGTTGTTGTTGTACAGCCGGATGGAGCGGCCACAACGTGTGTGGAAGGATTGCATCTGGGTTTCTCTGCCGCTCATGGTTGTTGGTGCTCCTCCAGTTCTGCTTAATGTGCTCTTTTCTCCGCCGCCGTTTGTCACCGAACAAATCAATGGTCAGTCGGAATGGGCACACGGCCGGATTGCGGCTCATCGACTATGGGCGATGCACTTGCTCGGTTCTGGGGGCTAATGGACAGCCGCTGACAGAGTGGTCTGAATTTTCCGATACCTGCACTATGCATTATGCATGCATTTTGAAAATTCCAACAGTAAAATAAACAAATAGCGAATGTGCTTTGAGTGTGACCGTTCGCTGATGTCTGGCAAATACGAAAAAACAACGAATCGTCCTTTAACTTTGAATCATTCACTACACTGAGAAAAAAAAGGTTGTAACTCTTGTTTTATATTTTTAGTAAAAAGCAGTTATTAATAGGGGAACTTAAAATATTTTAAGTTGAACATAGTGAATAAAGATACATTAGCGATTTTTTTTTCAATCTTTATTAAGAATACAAATTGTACAAAAAATATGAAAATAATTGGGTTTTCAAGATTACCGTATCGGTACATTTATTTTTTGTAAATCGATAAACTCAAATAAATCCTTGTTTTACAGAGGCACTTAGTTTTAAAACATTTGGTTGAAAGTTATACCAAATGACATTGGTTCCTCGTATCTCACTTCTCGTCATCTTTAATGTTTTTATTGGTTTTGGTAACAGAGGTCGGGGGAATGGTCATGGAATCTGGGGCGTCCGTATCTCTCCTGTATTCGGGTGTGGATTTGCCCTTCACATAATCGGCGGTGATATGAACACCTCGAATGTCTGAGCCGGGCACTGAGAACATGGGATCCGACAGCAATTGCTCCATAATGGAGCGCAATCCCCAAGCTCCCGTGTTCGTCTCCATCGCCAGTTGGGCTATCGCCTCGATGGCCTCCTTGGTAAATGTCAGGGCCACATTATCCAAATCCAGCAGTGTCTTGTACTGCGTTACCAATGCGCTGCTCGGTTCGGTCAGGATGCGCACTAGCATGCCGACATCCAAACTGTGGAAGGGCACTATAACCGGGAAGCGGCCAATAAACTCGGGGCTCATGCCAAACTTAACGAGGTCTTGTGCCCTTACTTTAGTCAGGATCGAATCCCGCTTGACTTGTTCCGTGTCCGGGGATGTGGATCCCTTTTCGTTGAGGCGACGAACAATGATCTCGTTCAAACCCTTGTAGGCGCCCGAAGCCACGATCAGGATGTTCGTAGTGTCCACCTGGTGCGTGACGCCAAACAACTGTTTACGATCGCTCACGTTTACCACGCTGCCCTCCAGCAACTTGAGTATGCACTTGCTCTTGGAGCAGGCACCGATCTTGTCCACCTCGTCCAGGTAAACGATGCCCGTTTGGGCGCGCTCCACGTTTTTGTTGGCATCCTGCAGCAGCTTCAGGATGGCGATCTCGATGTCCTCGCCCACGTCACAAGTGGCAAAGGGAACGTCCAAGAATTTGGCAATGGTCTTGGCAATTAATGTTTTACCAGATCCCGTTGGTCCTATCATGATGATGTTGCTCTTCTCCAGCTTGGCATTGGCATCTTCTTTTTTTGGCGCACTTTTTGGTTTAAAGCCGTTGCCAGAGATCTGTAGTTGATCGAGCCCTGGAGGACACTTCTGGTCAGATGCTTCTTGCTGCAGCAGATTGAGTTGGATGCGCTTGTAGTGGTTGTACACTGCCACCGCCAGCACCTTTTTGGCGAAGTCCTGGCCCACCACGTGCTTGTCCAGATACTCCATGATCTTCTCCGGTGCTGGAGGCAGCTTACCCTGCTTCATTTTCTCGTCGTTCTTGGCTGGCGTTCCTTGGCTTGCACAAGGATTAAAAAGGGATTTTCCCTGTTCAACGGACTGCGGTTTTTGCTGCTGTTTAATACAGTTTAAGCTTGGAGTCGTACTTCCCAGCAGAGGCAGTTTGCCAAAAATGTTATTTTCTGGTTTAGCATTTGCCTTGGTTCCGCCAAAAACAAAACGAACTAGGGTGTAAGTCGACTTGTTGTTGTTTTGGCCAGTGGCTCCACTAGATGTGATTCCAGCTGTCTGTTTCTGTTGAAAACGTACAAAGGGACATAAATCAGAAGCCGGGAAGGGATCAATGGGCTGGAATTCTATTGGTTTTTTTAAGATTGTGATTATAGTGGAAAGTGTATTTCTGTCCATTTGGAGCATGTTGTTCATCTTGTTTTTGGCCGCCAGAACAGCGCTATTAAACTGCCTGTGAAATTCATGAACTTGATACAGTCCCTTAGTCTCATAGCACCGCAACCGGACTTCCTCGAATGACTCATCCTCAAGAAAGTTTGGCATATTGCCCTTTAACTGAAAGGGGCCATAAGCTGAAAGGGGCCACACATTTCCGTTTATACTTGATTCCAAGTCTTCTCTCAGCATACTCCTAAAGAATATTCAAGGAGTTACGATCTCTTTTGTTGGTTCTCAGTTCGCTTACTTGATATCCAGGTGCTGATAGAAGCAACTATCTCTATATGGACAATAGCCGTCTACGAATTTATAACAAATTGACATGATTCCCCTCTTAGAACTCACAGCGAAATGAGCAGCAGGAGTGGAATCCCCGCCTAGCTTTTCCAGTATTTTAGTATTTAGTGAAATGAAAATATACCACACGTATTTCCAAGCAGCTGAATACGCCTTGCATGAAATTAATTTTTAAATGTAAAATAATTATTTGCTACTTCAGGAAATAAATTAAGTTATAAATTTTATTTTTTATGAAATTTGCTTATTACATTTGGTTGCATTCAGCACACAACTTAAGCCGTGATAATGATCAATCACTGATCAAGTTCTAATGCTGAACGCGGCCACAAATATTAAAAACTACCGGTAATATTTTGAAAACACAAATTGGTCACACTGGCACAAGGTGTTCGAACAAAATAACACATTTCTGGTTCGACATTAACAAAAACAGGATATTTAACTGAAATATATTGACTCCCTGGCGCCATGTCCGCTAGCCAACGCCAGAAGCAGTTTGACATGAATCGCAGCCGTGCGAATAACCTGGCCAGCAGCAGCAGCAGCTCCTCCGGCAACAGCAACAACAACAGCACTGGTAGTACGAAAAATGTGGCTTCCCCGCATCAGCGCAAGTTGCAAACTTCAATGGAGCGGTTACAGGTGCAACAGCCGAACACAAGTCGTCGGTCGGCCGGCTCCAATTGGATGGCCGCTGCCGGTGGAACGCCAACAGGACCTGCTCCTGGAAGCGAAAACCAGGAGGCGAAGGATCCGAAGGAACCACAAACACTCACAAAATCGGCACGCATGCGCTTAAAGAAAAAGGCTCAACGCAATCGATACTTGGCCATGGACTGCGAGATGGTGGGCGTGGGACACAACGGCCAGGACGACATGCTGGCCCGCGTGTCCATCGTGAACCGCGTGGGTCAGGTGCTGCTAGACAAGCATGTGAAACCGCGTCAGGAGGTCACCGACTACAGGACCAGCGTCTCGGGCATTCGGCCACAGGACATTGCCAACGGCGAGGACTTTGCCACCGTGCAGGATGAGGTGGTGAAGCTGCTGCATGGCCGCATTCTGGTCGGACACGCACTGGGCAACGACCTCGCCGTCCTGAGCATCCGCCATCCGTTCGAGAACATCCGCGACACGTCGCGCTACAAGCCGCTCTGCAAACTTGTCTCCAATGGCCACACGCCCAGCCTGAAGCGTCTGACCATGGCCGTGCTGGGCCAGGAGATCCAGACGGGCGAGCACAACTCCGTGGAGGATGCCCGCGCTGCCATGGGCATATACAATCGTATTGCCGGTGACTGGGAGAAGTACCTGGAGAAGAAGCGACACCAGCAGCAGCACTACTAGCTGCGAAATTGGGGAACCCCACTGCACTCAGGGGAAGGATTACGGTAGCCCTAAGTTTATAATGTATGTTTACACGAGTTTCATTTATCGGAAACTGTTGCTTAATTCTATAAAACGTTACAACATATGCGGTAGTGTTTTTGTTTTGGATGGTATGTTAACGGCCAAACTCAATTAAAGTGGTTCTCGCTGAATTCCGCTTTATTCAGTCGAAACCCTGCAGACTTAAATTAAATCATAGCTTAATGGCTAAAAACTGATCTTTTTGTGTACACGTTGTTTGAATGGTAATGCAAACTAAGTGAATAAGGAATTTGTACATTTATCTTCAATAAGGAGCTAGCCCTTTGTCTAGTGATTTACATTTTTGTCACAACCTAAGAAGCCTCCACCTCTTTCGGTGTGGATTGGCCAGTGCTGGATCCGTGGATGGCCTCGTGGCGCTCCATCAGATCCCGCCAGGGATCCTCTAGCATGGAAGGGTGAAAGTACTGCCCAAAGGAGCCTCCACCTTGGCTGGGCTCTCTGTTTGGCTGGTTCCTCTGATTCTGGTCCCAGTTCGGTTGATTCCTTCGATTAAAGTTGCCCCCGCGTCCGAAATTCCCACGCTGTCCATAGGGCCGATGTCTTTGTGTCTCCTGCGGTGACTTGTTCTGGTAGAAATGTGGAATATTCTGCTGGGACTTTTGATGGCCCTGCTTGTCCTCGTAGAATCCAAAGTTTGAGTTTTGAGGCGTCTGTTGGCCTCCGAATTGCTGGGATCTGTAGTCGGACGACTGCGAAGGATACTGACCAGCACGCGGGGAGTAAGGCGGCAGGTTGTTAAAGTTCTTGCGGGGAGTGCTCATTTTAATGTGTTTCAGACGCCTTTCAAGCGTTTTTTTGCATTTTCTTAGTATAAATATGAAAACAAAATTAAGTTGCAAAATAAATAATTCACAGTGTGACGTTCATAGGCACCAAAAATATACCACAAAAATGGCGGGAGAGCATTAGGTGGTTTGAGTCTTGGCTACGACATTTTCTGGTATATTCAGGGAATATTTTTCAGAGTCATTGTCATCTTTTCACCGACCAACCACGGTCACACTCTCCGGAATATTTGTGAAGCGCGGTCGTCGTGCGGTCGGTCGTAAAAATAAAGTGCATTTAACTGCAGTTGCTCTCGGTTCTCACACTCCTCGGTTCCAGTCCGATTTTAATAAGTCAGCGGGACGATATGTAAAAAACTACACGCCCCTCGGTCGGAAAAACCTGCGAACAAAGCTAAAAGAGGCGTCGCCTGCCGCAGGAGCCTTTCATCGAAATCTTTGCCTTTGTCTGTGTACGTGCCTGCATCCGTGTGTGACTGTGTTCGTGTGCATGCAAGAGTGTGAGTGCCGCCGTTGCACCACCAGCAACAACAGCAACGACAACAAATTGTGTTTTTGCTTACATTGTCAGAAAGAAGTAAATTAAATTATCAAAATTTGAACACAGCAGTTTTACCCTTTTTCAAACCTAAAAAAAAACCAGAAACAAAACCAACCAAAAGTAATTTTCGTTTGGCCAATTGTGAGCGTTCGAGAGCAGCGAACAGGCAGCAGCCGCTTTGGATATCTTCAACGGAATCAAAGAGCAACTTTCAAGTTGCCCGGAACGCACCCGTGCCCTCTGCCGGACTGTATGGGGTACACTCTCGCTGTCCCTTAGCACAGCGCTCCAAGCGGCGAGCATCGAGGACGCCGCCGGCGGAGGATCCGGATTCAGGGGATTACAGGATCCAGGGGGAGGCGGCGGAGGTGGAGGAGGAGGAGGCGGCTCCGTCTCCGGTTCCAGCTCAGGTCGCTTTGCCACCATAATGGGCGCCGTCAAGTCGAGAACCATCACCAGCGCCGATGTGGACGCCGACGAGCAGCTGCAGCATCCCCATCCGCACCACCCATCGATGCGCAATGGACACCAGCACAACGGTTCCATCTCCAGCGGCACGCTGCAGAAGCAGGACCTGCGCTACGACATCGGCTGCAGTTCCCAGTACCAACACGTCCGACAGCCGAGCTTGCGGAGCCGGAGCCAGCAGCCGATGCCCACCACGGACGAGCTGGACCGGCGATTCGCCAAGGTTCTGGTGAGTGCTGCTCTAGTGCTTCTAAAATCCTTATGTAATGTAATCCTTACGGCCGATTAAATCCAGTTCAATTCTGTAACTTTATTTATAGACCAAAATCGGTTCATTGGTACAAAATAATCATTGTTTTAACTGGAAAATACTTGAATTTTAATCAGTATAGCTAAAATAAAAACGCCTTTGTCAAACTTTTAATTGTAAAATAAAAAAAAGGTTTGATCCGAACAAAATTATTATTTATTATTATCGGCGATAAATATTTTTTTTTCAAATCTCAAATTCATATAAAAAATAAATAAATTTTACTGGAAATAAATTTTTTATATAACAATAGCACGATAACAATAGAAGAGTTAAATTCATCTTTTTAGCAAAATCCTTGTCCTTTACATTTTTAACTGTTTGAAGAATTATTTAAATGTACTCGAATTACACGATTTCAAGAGTATCCTATCAATAGCAGATGTCTATTGCCTACACCTGCTATCAGAAAGGAATTAGGTTCATTTTCATCCCCAATTTATTAATAAATACAGTGGGATTTGTTTGGAGTAACAAAATTAAATTTAAATATTTTAAGATCGGTACTGTGTAGGCTATTATTTTTGGGTCATAAATAAAAATTAATAAAGCTAAAGCAATGCTATTTTAATTTGCCGGTATCTAATTTATACACTCGCATCAAGTATTGATTGTTTAGAAACAACACTCACCCCTTTCCTTTCAATCTGTGAAATGTTCCAAATTCGCTAGAAGAAATGTTTGCTTATATCCAAAAGCAATCTGAGATATTCAATTTATTAAGCGAATGTAGTAGCTGGTATATAGAGGCTTAAGGATTGGCTTCCTGCCCCTGCCGCGTTTTGTGCCGCCCTCGCATTTGTTGCATGTGATTGATGACCTCATCGGGTGTGCGGCGACTTGTTCGCTTGAATTTTTGTCAGCCACTCACACATGTGCGACCGCGAGTGTTCGGTGGTGTGCGTGTGTATCTCTGAGTTTGTATCTGCGGCTCTCCCCCTTTTTGCTCGGTTCTGTTCTCTGCTCCGGCTTGCACAACTCCCCAAGCAGGGTACAGTGGAATGGGTGTGTGGGATCTCGGAGAAAACCACTTTAGCCAAAAGGAGTTTGTCTTCCAAAGACCTCGCTAATCCATGTTTAATATTTCATTTATAATATCATATTGCGTTCAAACTTACAAAGGGGTACTCTCAAATGGTTAAAGCCATAAAGTTACAGGGATCAAGTTTTCATTCCCTATATACTAAAACCCCCCTAAGGAAATATTTTATTTGAGCCCAAACAAAGGTAGATTTTATACATATATTTTTTTTTTAAACCAAAGGGACAGACAAATTGTAGCTCTACGATTTCAATAATAAATAAAAATAAGTTTATATTTTAACAATTCTTCTGAAAAAACATGATTTCTAATTGTCTGTCCGCAAGTGTATAAGAACCACTGTGCCAAAGGCGTGTGCCCTGCCATCTGAATTCGTTTGTCATTCCACTAGATGGTTTTTTCTCCGAACAACACTGCGTAATTAAGATTTTACGAGTAAACATATTGCCAAAAAATAAAATAAAACTAAGAATAGAGCGAAAAAAGCTCTCAGCTTTGACGGTCATAAAACCGTAACAAATAATTGTGACCCACAGCCGCCATTTGATTCGTTTCGCTCCCCCTTGCATCCCGCCTTGTAAGCCACTCCAATTCGGCATGCTAATGGCAATTAAAGCGAATTGATCGATTGTCGCCCTCTCTGTCGCACTCCAGTGCTGACTCACTAGTGTACCGCCGTGCCGGACCGGGTCCGCTTGTCCTCTCCCTTTCTCGCACTCTGCGACTGCGGTTGCGGCTGCTGAAACTGCTGGATGGCTTTGAGATCGCGGCTTATCTCTCGCACGAACTGAACAAAAGGGAAGACGAGAGCAGAAATCTTTATTTATATAGCGCTGCTTGAGTTCTCAGTTATCGGCAGTCAGTCAGTAATATGAGAAATGCTCCTACATCGGGTTTTCAACTTCTCTGCTCATTTTTGGCACTACAACCCATTCTCATGATCTTTTGTTTTGATCTTGGGGTTGTTGTTACTGTAAATAGCATCTCTATAGTGCATATAATATGATTTTGGGGTAGAATTTTAAATTATTTGTTGTTTCGACATTGTAGGTTTGTTATGATCTTAGTTTATATTACTTCTGCGGTTGACAAAACAAATTTCACCTTATTCAGTACTTAATGTTGTAAGTTTAGTTTTGAACTTATTTATGTGGTACCTAAAATTTTATTATATGCTTACGGGAAACAAATATAAATTTTATAGATATGGTACAATTATATTTTTTCGCTCTTCTTTTTTTAATCTTCCCATAACTCTGCTTCTTTTTGGCATTATTCATTTTGTGCGATCTTAAGTTTATAAATTTCGTGTTTATCTCGATAAGGAACCACATTTTTATTATACCCACTCCAATTTTGGTGACACGAAATATTGATTCGTTTATCAGGGCTGAAAATATTTATATGGTCATTAAGGGTAAAGTAAAAAATAAAGTGTCCTTTGTTAGGGATGGATATTGAAAAATTTATATCCTGACGTATCTATAAAAAAGACAATTCTTTTGTAATAAGATCAGTAACAGTAGGACTATCTGTTTAAACATCTTATCGACATATGTACTTTGATAAAAATTCCGTTTTGAAAGGGAATCAATATTCGATAATTCAAGGGTATTCAAGATATTGACAGACCTTAGATAACATTTTTTCCCTCTCCAATTTGTTATTCTTTGCCTATTGTTTGTTCAAAATTCATTGCCTTCTTTTCGCACTCAAAGTGTGTGTTTTCGTATGTTTACCTTTGGCTGTTGTTTTTTTCATATTTTTTTTTTGCCCCTCGATGTTGTGTTTGTTTGCCATTTCGGTAGCATTGTGGAGGTGCTGTGCCGAGCCCTGGTGGCCTCGCCCTTGCCTTGTGTCTCCGGCTTGGCTAATTCGTGTTTACCTTAATTTAGTCAAAAGTGCTGCTCGCTGGCCCATTGCCATTGAAGTGGACTTGACTTGACAGACCGGAGACTGCCAGATCCAATGCGCCAATGTCCGTGCACTCGCCTTTCGATTGGAGGCAATTGTTTGTCTGATTCATGGTTTAAAAATAACAACAGACCGACAATTTTGCCGCTAATAATTTGCATTTGGATGGATCTAATCAGACGCAGTCGGTGCATATGTTTCCGGTTAAGCTACGATTCTGCGCGCGTGGGTTGATTGAACTTTGACTACGAGGAAGGGGAGATCTTGAAACATAAGGGGTGCAACTATATGGAGCACCATTCAAGCTGATCAAACAATCGACTGAGAGAATTGTGAAAAGTAGTAGTTAGAAATGCGAATATTTTGCTGTGCCTTATTTAGAATTATATATTTAATTATCATTTGAAAAAAGGCAGAAAGTTACACTATTGCAAACCTATTTTTATGTAAATAGTTATAGCTTTGGTAAGGTACTTACTTCTCCTTACCTATTTTCCTTAAACATTATATGATTTACATAAGTTATTTACTCAAATTAAGTTTTGTTTGCCATTTGCAGTTGTGTTTATCTTCAAACATATTAAATGTTTTAATCTCAAGTTCAAGGGGTTAAGGTTTTTGTTTATATCCAGAAAAGCCTTATGCAATTTGCCTCTTGACTCATACTTTACCAGATTCCAGCTGTGAAGTTTATTGAATGAATTTCAGTGCACAGCAGATAAATACCACACAAGCGACCGTTTAACTGTTTTTGTTTACTAATTCATTTTAATTTCTGTAAAATTGGCATCAAGCCAATAAAATGCCCATAGTTTATTCAATTGAAAGTAAAAGTGTATTTATTGCAACGCTAAAGAGGCAGCTTAAAATATAAATGAATAAAAATGTTAATTTTATTGCATTATTGAAGGCATTAACTTTCAAGAGACTTATCTGCGGTTTTTGTTGTGGGTGTCATTACTCACATACATAGGCATAAATATAGAGAAAGACGCAAAGACTAAACCGCATAAAATCCTCATTCCCGAGCGCTTTCCAGCTTTCTCAGGCGAACCAACTTTCACTCGCTTAATCATCGTTGCCCAATAGTCTTGGGCCTAGAATCTATATCTATAAACAATTGCCTGCAGGGGCGTAGTTAAGATGCGGTGATTCAGGGTTACCCGTCTCTCTTAATGACATTTTCAAAGGCTTATAAACCACAAAGCACTGAACCGCAACACTTACTGTTGTTTATATTGTTAAGCACTTTTCGCCGATGCGAGGGCAGGTTCAATTCTTTCCCAATTATCTGGTCTGCTCTAAATAAAACTTTCTTTCTTGAATAATAAATTTTAATTAAATTACATTAACAGGTTGTATTATATAATTTCTAATTAGGTAACATTGTAAACTAAAGCATAACTTTTAATTTTATTTTAACTTGTTGGTTTATTGGTCTTAAACACCTATTAAAGCCCTCGATGCATGAAACACGCATTCGATGGCCATAAATTGATGTCTTTGTTCAATGCATTGTCCATTTGGATTGGCTTTATCTAACGGCAGCTTTGACTCTGCAAAAATGAGGCTTCCACATTATGTGAACTTCTCTATCTGCCTTGTAGGGCAAACATAAGTTTATCATTGGTTTTCACTTCCTTTGCGGTCTGCAAAAAGACCATAGCGCAAAAAAAAAACATAATAATGATAAAAACATAAGACCATCCGTTTTTTATGCGTATAAATGGTAATCGACTTAAGACTTCATGAGAACCTCATGTAAGATAATCAAACAAACACAAAGGAAATTGTTCGAACTTAAATACAGATCTTGGATGAATCAAATAGATAACAAACCATGTCGGTATTTATAGGAAACTATAATTCCGATTACTTTTCTATGCCTTTCAATAGCAAAAATTAGTCATTGTCTTTCGCACGTGCATTAAGAAGCTAATCGGTGTTTTTTTTTATCTTTGAAATAAAAAACATGCGAGGTTCTCAGAAGAAAGGAAGTATTTCCTTTTATAATCCAAGAACATGTGCCCATTCAATTTTCTCTGGATGTTTTTTAGAAAATCATTTTTGTGAGTCACGAATACACGATTTCTGTTTGTTTTACCTTCATGAAAATGTTGTATAGTTTTTAGAAACTATTACACATCTTCAATATTTTTAGGTAGAAATAAATATTTAAATTACAATATTTCTATGGAAATGGGTTTTTCTTGATGTGAATTAAAATGACGAGCTTGATTGACTCACTAAACGCATGTGTTTAAATTGTTTTTTTGTTCATGTTCATGATTCGCATGAAAATCACTTTATAATTGCGCCATGTGGTTTTTCTTAATATGGAACTAAATTTCTTTGGATTTATAATATTAAGAATAACTAATATTTTAAATCGTTCTTTGCATTTATATGTATAGGCTACAAAATCTTTTCTTAGTCACTATCAAGTGATGTTTACATCATTATTGTTTGTAGTTTTTCTGTAATAAATACCTTCGAAGCTTACTCATTTGGCATGAGCGTAGACAGATTGAAGCTGAAATGAGGGGGCAAGTGAGGCTCACAATCCGTAGCGCCCCATTATGCATATACACACAAATTCAAAAAGAGGGACAAAAAAATAAAATAAAACAAATTTAAAATGCGTATCCGGTATGACGGTCAAGTAACAATATGTACACCGTATGTACATCATGTCCAATTTATATAGTAAATTTTAGCTTTCTGGCCGTTTGAGCCTGTCTGCCCTGGCATAAATATTGAAGAGAGCTCTCGTCTTTGTCACCTTGTTTATTATTCTCTCTTTTTAAGCACTCTTTTATTTACTTATTTATTGTTTTGTTATTATGAAAAGCGCGTCGAGGCAAATCACTCAGCCTGATGGGTTCAGACCGTAACGGACAATGGACTGGGTGTGGAAACGAAGGGGATGATGGGAGTTTGAGGCCAAATGGTTCACCCATAACATTACAATTAATTAATCAATAAATTTTGCAATCATTCTCGCATTTGCTTACAATCCCTCTGAGCATGGGGAATACATTGCAAATATATTTAGAACTGCGCACGTAGTAAAACCTATTCAACAAAGGCAAAAGTAAAGATAATTGTAATAATTGTTTAGCTTAATTAACACTCTGATAAACTGCGAAGCTTCATGAAAATTAAAAGTAATTGAATGTGAAAAAACATTGAACAAAAAGCATTGTATTATCGAGTTGTGAATAAAAATACATTTTGGACAACGAGGATTTGTGTAGACGTCTCAAGAAACAGATTAATTTGTTTTACAGCACTTATTAAATTTTATATATTTTATTAGGGTTTTATATTGATATAATCAGCAGAGTTGAATATCTGGTTAAAATTGTTAGTTGTACAATATTCATTAGAGACAATATTTTTACTTAAGGTGCATACAATTTTGAAATAAGAAGAAGGCTTTCTCTTTAAATATTCTGTTCGAAATATTCAAATTTATTCTATTGATGGTGTATGTAAAGAGATGAGAGATCTGTTGCGTCCCAATGCATTGCAATGCACCAAATACATTTCTATTATTCATTTTATTCCAATTATGCATCCAATGTAGCTAGGTAATACATTCTATACATTTTGCTGTAGTCCCCTCCACCTTACCACACCCTTTTCCTGCTCTCATCCCAGTATGAAGTGTGTGTGTGTGTGTCTAATTAGAACTTCCAACTGCAGCTGCACCCATAAAAAAGGAGGAAAAAGTGGAAAAATTAAATTGAAGTCACGTAAGCATATTTGCCGATTTCATTATGGTGCATTCCCTCCCGTTAAATGGTATATTTAACCATTTTACACAATCGCCTGTAGTTGTTCAGGTAAATTGGTTCTGACTATTTGATTTTGCGATGTGGTTCAGTGAGTTGCAGCTTAAATCTCGAATCTCTGGCTTCAATTTACATATATAGTTTATTATCCTTGATATAGATCAAATGTGAAAATTAAGTTTCTCTTGTAAGTTTAATCTAAGAAATAGAGCGAAACCTTGTCGACTTCTGTGTTGGCTTTTCTTTATGGTGTGTGACTCTTCCTCAGTAATCTTCTGATTAACCATCAGCAGCTGAAGTATTATAATATTTGCATGGGCAGGCAAACAGTGCTCCGGTAATTACTCTAGAGATGCAAGACTGGAGACCATAATGGGCCATAATACGCAGTGAATTTTTGGCTTTAATGGGTTTTCCAATTGGCTGAGTGGCATTTCCAGCTTTTTACTATTTTATAGAAATATCTGTTTATCTGAGCATTAAAATTTACAAATTATTTTCGTATCTTCTTGTTACAGGCTTCGATGGATTTGCCACCGGATAAAGCAAAGCTACTCCGAAACTATGATGACGAAAAGAAATGGGACATGGTATGCGATCAAGTAAGTAAAAGAAATCATTTGTCTTTCATACTTAAACTCAATTTCATCGATTTAGTTAGAGATTATAAGCTATTATAAGTTTAAGTTCCTAAAAAAGTCCCTTTTAAAATTAAAAAACAAATGACGCAATAAAAACATTTTTAGAATGACTTATATTTCGCATAAAAAAGATTGTAACTTCCATAGTGGTTTTGCTGTGCCTAACCCTTTATTTAAAAATAATAAATTTGATAAAACAAATGTCGCAACAGAAACATTTTTAGAATGACTTGATTTTTACTTCCATAAATGGTTTTGCTGTGCCTAACTCATTATTTAAAAATTAACAAAACAAATGACACGACAGAAACATTTTTAGAATGACTTATATTTCGCATAAAAAAGATTGTTACTTCCATAAATTGTTTTGCTGTGCCTAACCCGATATTCATAAATATAAAGATTAAAAGTAGACATTTTTTAAAAGTTAAACATGGTATTTAGAACACACATTAAAATATATTTTTTGCTAACAACACTTTGTTATCAAAGTCTGGACTTCCTTTTTTGCGTTTTGCAGATTATAGGCTATTTAATTCCCATTCGAGCACTTTGGACTCTTTCTCGAGCGCAGATCAGAAGGGGTTACGATAGAAACATGGGCATGGATTGAGAGGGGCTCAAGTCGGTGTCGACACCTTGAACACTGACCTTTAGGCTGCACAATTGTGGGGAGGGTCGAGTGGAGCGGGCGCCGCTCTAATTAAGCTCTACCAAATGGCTTTGCGCAATGAAATTGTGTGTGCGTAGGCCAGTTGGAATGTTAAAGGCGTTTATGCCTTGAGCAACTTTACGAAATTCTCTTTCAATTAGCAACTGCCAACTGGGTTGCGAATAGATCGAGCAGGTTTACGCCTGGGAAATCTCGATAAGAAAGGTACATATAAGCACAAGCATTTGCAATATTGGAAAGGTATCAGTACTTTGTTCTTAAACAGTGGATTTCTTCGAAATGTAAGTGATAACAATGTAGGCTTTACTATTTGTAAACATCATTTTATCAGGTATTTTTCTGTTGATTACTACGAAACAGTAGTTTAAACATATAAAATATTTTTGAGCTGACGCACTTTTATTGTGATCACCTCATAATAAAAAAACTGATGCTTTAAATGTTTTACAACCCAGTACTGCTGTTAAAATAAATAAGAACAAATAAAATAAATAAATAAATAATAGAATAAAATATTTAAGAACGAAAGGTTTAAATTTGCTAATAATTGCCCCCCATTTATAATTAATGTTAACTGTTGATTTGGAATGAAATTAAAGCATATGCATTTTTACCTCAACCTTTGAACAGTTTACGTTAAGCTAAACTTGGGGAATATTTCGCATTGTATTAAAACGACGACAAGTTGTTCAGCACCGATTGCTGAAATGGCATAAATAAATTGTAGGACATGTGTTTAAATATATGTCTCTGTCTGTCTAGATAGATAATTATATATATATGCATTGTGTATCAGCTTTGTCAATCATTATGCAGTGCGTGCTGTTTGGTCGTTCGCGCTTTTTGATGTATTTTTTTTTGCCGCTTCACACACCACAGAGCTTAATGATTTAAATTCGCTCGTTGAATCCAAAAAACCGAAACATTTGGGCAAAAAGAGCGGCTCTAAATTGCTTTAGAATAGGGCAGTAAATTGCGAGTTTTATATGCTATATGGACAAATCCAGATTGCGTGTTTTTTCTACTGCTGCTGCTGCTGCTGTTTTTGGAATATGACGAAACTATTAACGTGTGCGCTAGAGCGTGCCTCTTTTTGGTGGATTCTATCTATCCATCCATCCAACCAGCTATCTATCCATCTCCCTTGGAACTGGGTCACTGAATTTTCAAGAGCTGCACCTAGGAAAATAACAACGGAAAACAACGGCGACGCCGAGCATAATATATTCGCCATCGGCATTTTGGAGGAGTAGCTCTCGAAAGAAATAAAAGCAAAGAGGAAGGAATGCTCAACACTCTTCGGAAAAACCTGGGACTCGCGTCAAACAATTTCTGCCATACGATAAAATATCATAAACACCCAACACGGTTCGTCGTTGTTGCTGCAGTTATTCCTACGACTATTGTTGTTGTCCACGACGTCGTCGCCGGTTCCTTTACCGCCTGCATATGCCTGCAACCCAGACCTGTTTTCCATAACTCAGGCCCACTGCACCGTGGGTGATGCACTGGGAATTGGTGTATAAAATTAATTAATTCATTTTAAGATTCGCTATTAAAATCCCAACGACAGCAATGCTTCAGGCACATCTATAAAGTTTTTTCACAGCCTTTTTGTTCCACTCTATTTGATAATATTATCTTAGATCGACTTTGGACAGACCAACTTTATAAAATTACAAACCAATTAAAAAACTTCAATTAAATTGGACGAATACATTTTTTTCGACTTTTCTTTCTTTACAAAATTGAGTGAATTCCCGGCCTTCTAAACGTTTAGTTCCACATCAAGAACGTGATAATTTGAAAATAATTATTATTACGAAGACTTGAAGTGAAAGGAAACTACAGTGTGACTCATAATATGAGCATTGCTCAAAAAAATAACTAAATATCAAAAAAATAATTTGGTTAACTAAAAAAATGAAATGTAATACAAAAAAAATTTCTTTTATTTGTAAATTATTTTTTTTTTTCCCCCGAGACAAGTTCCTTCCTAAAAGTTTATTAGCCACATTGACATGCCCTTGTTCCACAGTTCCACTCCAACTAAGTCTAGTCATGAAAATGAATGAAAACGCAGCCCACTGACAGACGGACGGGCAGACAGTAAGACGGACAGGTCCGGTGATAATAGTGGGATGGTGGAATGGTGGAATGGTGCGATGGTGGAGGCGAAGCTTGCCAAGTGAGGCCAATCCCATGGACTCGGTCCTCGCCATCTTCCTGTCTCTATGCTCCTCGGTTGCTCTTCGTGCTCACAGTGACAAAATGCAAATTATTATGACGGCGATAAATTGCAGTTTTTAATCGTTGGAGCCGCTTGCTTGCAGCGGCTTGTAAACACATATCCGTATTCGTGTACGTGTAGGAATATCTGTGCTTGTATGAATGCTGATATTTTTCTCCAGCTCTCTTCGACTAGGAAAAAGAATCGAAACTGGTTTTTCTCTAGCTGCAGTTCGAACCCAAACCCAAACCCAAAACCAAAACTAAAACCCACACATAGTTTAGGTTGTAGTCATGCGTTGGCTGTTGGTTGCTGTTTTTGTGGCTTTTGGTTGCTGCCTTAGTTGTTGGCATAGTTAAACCCAAAAAGAAAACAACAACAAATAGACGCAAGCCAAAACAAGTATACCACGCTTCATGCTTAAAAATGTTTAAAGTTAGGCAAGCCATCGATGCTTATGTGATGGGTGGTATCTTGGATCCCCCGAGGGGTTTAGAGTCATAAAGGGTGGAGGTGTGCGGCACCATAAACATGTACAAAAATATGCAGTTAAGGCATAGAAAGAAAAACAAAAGTAAAAGCCGCTAAGTCTCGGTCTCTGGTAGTGCTAATGCATGTGGAATCGCTGAAAAATCCCCCATCCTCCTCATCCAGTTGCCCGATCACTGGCAGTTCATTGAACAGCGACTTGGGTAACTCCGCTGAAGATGATTTCAGCGGCAATTAATGTGGTAGAGGCTGCAATTAGTAATTAGGAAGCGAGTAGCGTATTTCTGGAGTTGGCGTATCTGTAAATAATAGTTTTTGAAAAGCGTCTATTACACACAACGATTGGGCAAAAGCAGCTGACAGTTAAATTCAATTATATTGGAAAACCAGCTGAAATCGTTTATGATGAACCATGATAAATGGAAAACTAGTATAAGGACAAAGGAACTTAATTATATAAAAATCTGAATCCAAAAATGATTTATCGCTTGTAAAAATATATACATTTTCTTGGATGTTATCGTACATTATTGTTAATTTAATTGGTTTGGCCTTTCGCACCTGTGTAACATAAAATAAATTTGTTATAAAGTTCAGTCGTTGAACAAGTTTTTCTGCTGAAGGTGTTAATGCCATTTTAGACAAACGTATTCTTATAGATAGCAGTGTTAATTATTTTTATATAAATGCGTGGATAGAATTGAGTAACGTTTTGGTATATTAACTTGTAAATTTTAGTAAAAACTTCAAGAATCAATTAACTTTTATATTATCTACAAAATATTATTATTAATTAAACATATTATTACATTAATTATAGGAAAGGGTGCAGGCAAAGGATCCGCCCTCACATTACTTGAGTAAACTGCGAACATATTTGGACCCAAAGGCCTCACGGAGTCATCGGGTATGTACAATTCCTAATTCTCTTTCATATATAGCTTCCTGTAGTTGTTTCTGTAGTGTGGTTTCTGGTTGTCTTCTAAAATTAAAATTAAGTTATTAAAAAAAAAAGAAACTCTTTAACCAACTATTGGGCTCAAGCTAAAATGAAAAATCAAAGTTAATTAATCCCACTTGAAATCGAAATCTGTTGTTCCAATATTAATGTGTAAATTTCATTTCTCTACTCACAACACTGACAACACACCACGATTCCCACACTCTTCTTTTCCTGTTTCCCCCGATGTTTTTCTCTCTTTATTTGTTTACCGCCTGGCACCTGCACTATCCCAAAAACCGATCCTCATCCTGGTCCTCCCGCTGCTGACTCCGCATCCGCATCCTGTCGCCTTTTTCCGGCCACCCGTCTTCCTATCCTCCACTTTCTCCACTCTCTCTCTTTGTACACTTACAGCTTTACCTCTTCTACTTTCTTTGTCAGAAACGGAAAATGGTCGGCGAGTCCACGTCCACCCAGGTGCTTCGGGATCTGGAGATCTCGCTGCGCACCAACCACATTGAGTGGGTGAAGGAGTTTCTGGACGACACGAACCAGGGTCTGGATGCCCTGGTCGACTATCTCAGCTTCCGGCTGCATATGATGCGGCACGAGCAGCGCCTCCAAGGTGTCCTGTGTGCCTCCGAGGAGCGCTTGAATCTCACCAGCGTCGGCGATGGCGGCGAGATGGTGCTGGGCACCAGCAGTTCCATTAGTCCCGGCGGACCAGGTGTTGCGCTGTCCCATGGGGGCAGTGCAGGTCATGGCCTCGGCAACGGCTCCCTACTGCTGGATGCCAGGCAGCAGCACGGCCAGCACCCAGTGTCCTATGGATTCCTGCGACCCACCATTGCCGATGCCCTCGACAGTCCCAGTTTGAAGCGGAGGTCACGGCACATCGCCAAGCTGAACATGGGCGCCGCCACGGACGACATCCATGTGTCCATTATGTGCCTGCGTGCCATCATGAACAACAAGTACGGCTTCAACATGGTCATCCAGCATCGCGAGGCCATCAACTGCATTGCCCTGAGTCTCATCCACAAGTCGCTGAGGACGAAGGCCCTGGTCCTGGAGCTCCTGGCGGCCATCTGTCTGGTCAAGGGCGGGCACGAGATCATTTTGGGCTCGTTCGACAACTTCAAGGATGTGTGCCAGGAGAAGCGGCGCTTCCAGACCCTCATGGAGTACTTCATGAACTTCGAGGCCTTCAACATCGACTTCATGGTTGCGTGCATGCAATTCATGAACATTGTGGTTCACTCGGTCGAGGACATGAACTACAGGGTGCATCTGCAGTACGAGTTCACTGCGCTGGGCCTGGACAAGTATCTGGAGCGGATTCGACTGACAGAGTCGGAGGAGCTGAAGGTACAGATCTCCGCCTATCTGGACAACGTTTTCGACGTGGCCGCCTTGATGGAGGACTCCGAAACGAAGACCTCAGCCCTGGAGCGAGTCCAGGAGCTGGAGGATCAGCTGGAGCGAGAGATCGATCGCAACTCGGAGTTCCTCTATAAGTATGCGGAACTGGAGACCGAGAACCTCACGCTGAAGACGGAGCGAGAGCAGTTGGCCATGATTCGCCAGAAGCTGGAGGAGGAGCTGACCGTCATGCAGCGCATGTTGCAGCACAACGAGCAGGAGCTGAAGAAGCGGGACACACTGCTGCACACGAAGAACATGGAGTTGCAGACGCTTAGTCGCTCCTTGCCACGATCCGTGTCCAGTGGCGATGGTTCTTTGGCAAACGGCAATCTCCTGGCTGGAGCATGTTCTGGGGCAGCCTCGCTAGCGCTGCCGCCGCCCCCGCCTCCTATGCCCGCCTCACCGACTGCAATGTCAGCTGCTCCTCCACCCCCACCGCCGCCAGCACCACCGGCCCCACCACCACCGCCCATGATGCCGGGCTTCAGTCCACTGGGTAGTCCGAATGACAGTCTCACCTCGACGGTGGCGTCGCCACCACATGACCCACCCATGCTCAGCTCCTTCCAGCCACCGCCGCCTCCGGTGGCCGGCTTTATGCCCGCTCCCGATGGCGCTATGACCATCAAGCGCAAGGTGCCCACCAAATACAAGTTGCCCACCTTGAACTGGATAGCATTGAAGCCCAACCAGGTAAGATCCAAGTGGAGTTTAATGTCTTATTGGTTATCAGCTAATCATTTCATCTTTCGTTCAGGTGCGTGGCACAATTTTCAACGAGTTGGATGACGAAAAGATCTTTAAGCAAATCGACTTCAACGAGTTTGAGGAGCGGTTTAAGATCGGCATTGGCGGCGCCTTGCGCAATGGCAGCAATGGAACCGAGGTCGATGGCTCGCTGCAGTCCAGCAAACGCTTCAAGAGGCCCGACAATGTCTCGCTGCTGGAGCACACGAGGTTGAGAAACATTGGTAAGTGCTCCGCATTCTCCTGTTTATTTGTGGTTTGATTGACTTTGTTTTTGCCCTTCTTGCAGCAATCTCTCGTCGCAAGCTGGGTATGCCCATTGACGATGTCATCGCTGCCATCCACAGTCTCGACCTCAAGAAACTCTCGCTGGAGAACGTCGAGCTGCTGCAGAAGATGGTGCCCACGGATGCCGAGGTCAAGTCCTACAAGGAGTACATTATCGAGCGCAAGGACCAGCAGCTGCTCACCGAAGAGGACAAGTTCATGCTGCAGCTATCGCGAGTGGAGCGCATCTCGTCCAAGCTGGCCATCATGAACTATATGGGCAATTTTGTCGACAGCGTTCATCTCATTAGTCCGGTGAGGAAATGGAAATCTACACTATTTTTCCTTTTGAGTGGGGAACTTACTGAATTCCTGATTTAATTGAATCATTAGTTGACTAATCTTGTTATTTATGTATGTCTTCACTGAGCAATTTCTTGGTCAGCTGTCAGCTGGTTCTCTATTTTGTTTGTTTGTTTTGTTTGAACAAAACCACATAATTTTTAATATGCATTTGCTTATGACAAAGCTAAACATACGCAGAGAATAGTTTGTTTTGGTCAGCAATATAAAGTACTAAATATCAGAACAATGTTTTAACTTTTTAATAGTAAACAAATCTATACATGTATATATTACGTTGTTATTAGTTAATCAAGTATGAATGAGTAGACAAACACAAATTAACCGTTGAAGAAAAGCGGATTAATATTTTAACCAACGAATAATTTATAATATTTTCCCATCTTAGCAAGTGCAATCTATAGCAGGAGCTTCCACTTCTCTTAAACAATCGCTGAAATTCAAGGCTGTTTTGGAAATAGTTCTGGCCTTTGGCAATTATCTCAACAGCAATAAGCGGGGACCGGCCTACGGCTTTAAGCTGCAATCGCTGGATACGCTGATTGATACGAAATCCACGGACAAGCGATCGTCGCTGCTGCACTACATTGTGGCCACGATTCGGGCCAAGTTCCCGGAGCTGCTGAACTTCGAAAGCGAGCTGTACGGGACGGATAAGGCGGCATCGGTGGCCCTGGAGAATGTGGTGGCCGACGTTCAGGAGCTGGAGAAGGGCATGGATCTGGTGCGCAAGGAGGCCGATCTGCGGGTGAAGGGTGTCCAGACGCACATTCTGCGCGACTTCCTCAACAACAGCGAGGATAAGCTGAAGAAGATCAAGAGCGACCTGCGGCACGCGCAGGAGGCCTTCAAGGAGTGCGTGGAGTACTTTGGCGACTCCTCGCGAAATGCCGATGCGGCTGCCTTCTTTGCGCTGATCGTGCGCTTCACAAGAGCATTTAAGGTTGGTCTACTTAATATGAATAATACAAAATGGGTTTATGTTACCTTTATACTACCTTGCTAATTACAGCAACACGATCAAGAGAACGAGCAGCGGCTGCGACTGGAGAAGGCGGCTGCGTTGGCCGCCTCCAAGAAGGAGAGCGACCAGGTGCTGATGCGCAACAAGGTCAACCAGAAGAAGCAACAGGTGAGTGGCGGACATCGACCACGAAGCGCAAGCCATCAGTCCTTTCATCTCAGGGTGGCCAAGTCCCTCGAATCGGTTTCATACATCTAATCTCTAATTGCACTTATCGTATCAAACCTGATAACCTGCTATGATTTGTTTTTAATCTCGTTTGATTTGATTTATGCAGCCAATACATTGCCTGCTCGACTTTGCCAATCAGCAGCAGAAGCAGCTTGTCCCATCGTAGCATCCACCCACCGGCCACTTCCTCAATCTTTAGCACGTTAACTTGGTTATTTGGTTGACTCACACAAATCGCACCACACACTCTGTCTAATACTCAACTGGGGATGGGAATTCGAGGGGGACTTGGTCTCTGCCCGTCCGTGCCCCAAATCCCCGCCAAATCCGCCACAAACAAAATCGAACCACCACCCCATACTACCGCCTAGTTGTTGCTCTCTGTGGGCGACATGTGACGGGATTTGTTTTGTGTAAAGTTCCCACATTAGTGTAAGTCGCCTGGCTTGTCTCTACTTGTCTCCTAACACCGTATTTGCTCAGACTAATCCTCCACTATTGTGTTGTCAAATCCCTCGCTAATTCCCCCTGCTAATTCCAATCCACTTTGACTGTGATCTCACATATGTACATATGTGTGCCGTTCCACATTTTGGACTCGTGCCAGGACTTGCACGCAACTAAATTTTTGTATTTCATTAACAAACAATACTTTAACGGACACTTTAAATACATTTGAAAATAAAGTTAAAGAGTTACGAGATTTAATTCGTTAAAAAAAAATAAATATATAAAAGTGCAATAAATTTTTATACCAATTAAAAATTTAATAAATAATAAAAATTTAAAAGTTATGAATTATTGTAAAATTAAGGATGTCAGCGATCCCAAATATGTTCATGTGCACCCACAGTAGTAATCATTTAGTAATAAGTTGCTGTTCCTTGGTGATGGTTATCCGTGTTTAATGCTAACCTGTTTCTTTTTCTCTAATCCCATTCCGGTTTGGCATCGATCCGCTCCCCTAAATCCAAATGCAAACAGTTGCCCTCAAATGGCGCGTTATCCTTGCAGGACGCGGTCATAAACGAGCTGAAGAGCAAGGCGCACTCGGTGCGCGAGAAGAAGCTGCTGCAGCAGGACGAGGTATACAACGGAGCCCTGGAGGACATCCTGCTCGGACTGAAGAGTGAGCCGTACCGGCGGGCGGATGCAGTGCGGCGGTCGCAGCGCCGGAGGATCGACAATAATCGCCTGTCGCGAACGCTGGAGGAGATGGATAGCTAGACAGGAAATCGAGATCGACGGAACGATGGAACGACGACGACGACGACGACGACGGGGCAAAGGCAACGAATCGAAAATCAAAATTCACACTGAAACAAAAACAGAAACAGAAACGGAAACGGAAAAGAGAACATTACAGATACTGCAATATGTGATTGGGCGATTAAATTGTTTTCGAAACACTCGTACACATACACACCTCACATTCCCTTCCATACGAATCCCTTTTTTTTCGAATATTTTCCAATTTAATTTTAAGTTGAGCCGGATACGGCTTACCGTATCCCAGAATCCCAATCCTCAACGGAACATTTAGCACCGACAACCACAAGCACAACCTAACATCCCTTCTGTGAATCTCGCCTTAAATTTTGAGAGACATTTTTTATCGCCAAAATTTTGTTTGTAAAAATGCATTTTAATTTGGTTGCTTAGAGCTTAAGTTGAACTTGAAAATTCGAATGGTGTATTTATCAAATTTTTAATTGTTAAATAATGATTTAAATTTTAATCTGTGTACATATATATACATACATATATATCGACTATATATGTGCTATTTAATTTTATTTTATTTTTTATATTTGAATTACTTGCTGCATCCATCCGAGATGCCAAATCCGCATGAATATGGAGAATCAAACTCCGCTACTTTAACTATTGTATTTTTTAGTAAGTCAAATAAGCAATGAATTGTATGAGAAGAGAGTATAATGCATTAAACTTTTGTATATTTTCCTATTTAAATTATCGGCTTATATGTTATTATTGTGTTTTTCACTCCGCACACAGCCAGCAACGAAAACCCAAACAAAGCGCCAAAATATTGCATGCCAGAAAATAAAATCATTTTTAGAATGTTTTACACTTAAAGAACTACACATTTTATAAAATTTTATTAGAATTTTTATACAAAGGATATATAAAACTATACAAATAGATATTCCATTTATAAGCCAATATATATTCTCACGAGCCACAACAAATTGACGAAGACTGATATGGAGCAGTTTACTATAAAGCAGCAGTTAAAACACGCAAAATATAATTATTGAAAAGCTTTTGTAATCTCTTTTGGATAGTGTCTTCTCTCGATATATACTTAGATATATATTTAAAATGCAATAACGAATTTAGTTGAACTATAAGCACAGTTTTATTGTATTAACATATTTACAAGTGCCATCGGCATCCTTATGCATATCCTTTAAATATCTTCTTCTCTTTAATTTGCCAAAAGAAAGAAATAGCGCAAAATAAGACCAGGTCGCAGCGTTTTAAAGCAAACATACACGATTAGCACGCTCTGCATTGTTAGTTCTTAAATATTGTGTTATTTAATTTGATAAGACGCCAGCATGGTATACGACGAACGAAAGAGAAGGAAATCTATATATAAATATAAAATGCCGGATTTTTTGTACACACATTTACACGACTATATTGAACACTCGAACTATTTTAAATAAATTATTATTAACCCAATAAACTAGCCAAAACAATATAGTGTTTTTCTTTTTTTTTTAAGGGTTCGTTTTGAAACATTTAACATTTATATATATATGACCATTGGTTGATGGTGGAAAATTGATTGTCGACTTTACGCTCAATCCGTAATCTTGACTTAAGTATTAAATATTTCTTATTTTAGCGCCAACTTAATGGTATAAGCAAACGATCGAAGGTAAGCGTCCCATGACCTAGCTTAGAGGATAAATTATTCAATAAAATAATACAAATAGAACTTTATCCCAAAAAGTATTTTTGAGAATTTTAATGACCTATATAATTTTTTTTATTGAAATTATTTTTTTTCAAACTATCGCGTTTTAAAGCATTGCAGTAATTACTGCGACCAGTGAGAACAGTTGTAAATTGGCCATCTCCAAACAGCTGGTTCACCTGTTGCAACTATCGGCACAGCTGACGCGGTAAACTTCCATCTCTAATAGAGAAGGAGCAAATTCCGCAGAGAGCGGAAAATTCAGTGTGAAAATGATTTAAACCGGGAACTGCACTAAACACACGCCCACGCCAACGTCGAGAATGTTCAAACGCACTTTTAAGGTGGTTTATCGGCCCATCAGGAGCAACTTTGTGGTGCTGCCGGACCAGTACTACGGCGTCGTTTCGACCTATGTAAGTGTCCAAAAGTCCACCGCCTTCCCTTCCATGCAGATTAGATAAGCCAAAGATTAATCCGGCTGGCCGTTCTGATTAGGATACGGGCTGCCTGAGTCTGCAGTACAATGGCCGGGTGCACTACGCCTCCTGGGCGCCAGAGAAGGGCGGCGGCGGCATCAAGGACACCGAGATTGGGATCAATGCCAGGGCGGCCAAGGAGATCGGTAAGCCATTACTTAACGACCGGATGTGCATCGCTTGCCAATGTGCCGTAATATTGGACTCCGTCCATCTGCCCCCGTATCTCTCGCGCATCTCAAGCATTTCAACCATCTCATCCATTTACCCATTCTTGCCGTAGGTCTGCACGAGAATGATCTGGTCAAGTGTGCGCTCATCGCTGACGTTCTCAACCTGCGCAGCGTCCACGTCACCCCCGTCTCGTCCAAGGACTGGGAGATCATTGTGAGTGACGGTTTCGGCGGTCAGCTTATAAATAGACAAGTCCGTTTATATCGGATTAGCATTTGGCGCGGGCGTGCGCCTGGTCTTTATTTATAATGCCATTGCTTGCTTGGCCGGCATTGCCATTGACCCGCTGATTGGATTGGTTTGGTTTGGATTAGATTAATTAGGAGCTAATCAGATGCCAGTGTCGATTAGAGTCCGTTTTTTATTAAGCTTTAATCTTCAGCATTTATTTTATCTAAAATTGAATAGGTTTAAATGGTGTAAAATGCTCCTAGAAAGAGGTTCGTCCATGAATTACCTTAATGTAGTTTAGACTGACTGACAGATACAGATGTTATCAAATACTGAAAAAATAAACAAAATTTATTCTGTTACCACGACAGTATAACGCTATAAGATTATATGATATAAAGAAGATTATTTTAGCTGCCTTAGTAATAAACAGACGAAAGATTAGTCGTATAAAAACATACTTTAGTATTTCGTCGGAAGAAAAAGGCAATTTCTTAGGCCAAGAAAAAATGATTTTAATAGAAAATTTTAACTATCCTTTTTTCTGCAGGAGCTGAGCACCGAAAAGATCTCGGGCAGCGTGCTGGAGCAAACCCGCATTGTGAACTCCACCCAGATCTTAATCGTTTGGATTAACAAGTCCATGCAAGTGGCGCTGACAGTGGGTAAATATTTGCCATACAATAGACTACTTTTGTATTAATTTCGATACCTTTTAATCAGATCGCCTGAAGCCGCACATGAACTACGGCAGAATCGATCACAATACGGAGCTAGTAGTGGCGCCCAACCTGTACAAAGGACTGACCAATGGAACGTCCAATGGTGACGTTGAGGAAAACTCAAAACTGTCTAGGAGTAAAACCACAGCCCAGGTAAAGGATGAAATGGCTGACAAGCCTGCGCCATTGGCCCACTCCTCCACGGTGTCCAATGTAAAGAACAATCTGCAGCGCAACAAGCGCCAGGATCACATGGAACGCCTCAAGAAGGATCTGCGCAGGGAGAGCTCGCGTAGCTTCGAGTTCCGTGTGATTCGTGGTCTTTGGCGGGAGCAAGCCCAGGAGTCGGATGTCTATGTGAACCGGAAGCATCTACCTGAGTTCTTCGACCTGGATCTATTCTACTGCATGCACACTGCCGGTGACAAGGACTATTATGTGCGGGTGCGCACAGTGGACGAGGATCTGGAGGACGATCTGCCCGGCACCATTCATCCCTCTATCGAACTGAACGCTAATCTGATGAAGTTGCTGGGTATCAATGAACTCGAACGAGTTGTCCTAAGGCCCAAAACGACCGTGGTAAACTTTGTAGAGAAAATAGAGCTGTTTGCCAACAAGAAGACGCACTACAAGATCATCGAGAATGCATTTAAGCGGTTTGTAATTGAGAGAACTCAGAAGAAGCCGATGCTCTTTAACCAGGAGGAGGTGGTGCGGCTCGAGGACGATGTGCTGGTTAATGTCGGCATCCTGCCAGAACACTTTCGCTACTGCGTCGTGGACACTCAGTTCCTGAAGGAGTCGAAGATCTATGCTGCAGATCTGGTGCGTCCGGTAAGCGAGATCATCAAGGAGCAGACGCCACCGACGTCGCCGTTAAGCGTCCAGGATCTAATCCGGCTACCAGAGTACGACAAGATAGTGGATCAGGTGGTCCAAGAACTGCGAATGAATCTTTGCCTGAATGCGGATAACTCCGTGATGCGGCAGTGCAATGTTTTACTGACTGGTGCTGCCGGAACTGGCAAAACCGTGCTCGTGGAGCGCATCCTTGACCAACTGTCGCGCAAACCGGACTATTGCCACTTCGAGTTCTTCTACGGCTCACGAAGCAAAGGCCGCAAGACGGAGTCTATCCAGAAGGATCTGCGCAACATCTTCACCAGCTGTCTTCAGCATGCCCCTGCCATTGTGGTGCTGGAGAACTTGGATGTGCTGGCTCATTCCGCTGGGGAGCAGTCCAGTCAGGATGGCGAGTACTACAATCGCATGGCGGACACAGTGCACCAGTTGATCGTCCAGTACACCAGCAATAATGCCATTGCGGTAATCGCCACCGTAAACGAACTGCAGACACTTAACAAGCGGCTTAGTTCACCCAGGGGCAGACATATCTTCCAGACGGTTGCTCGTCTGCCCAGCTTGGAACGGGCGGATCGGGAGATTATTCTGCGGGAGCTGTGCAGCCACATCAACGTGTCCAAGGAGCTGGATCTCGTCAAGTTCTCCAACCTCACGGAGGGCTATCGAAAGTGCGATCTTGTGCAGTTCGTTGAGCGTGCAATCTTCTACGCCTATCGCATAAGTAAGCACATATTTATTTGCATACAATGTTTCAAACCATCTCTAAATTCTATTCTGAACTATATGATATTTGCACGCATTCGAAAGTTGCATTGTGCATACTTATTGCTCAATTTGGAATTATTGATTTTCTTACATTTTTTTAATGAGTTCTTGAGAACCATTTAATTAGCAAAAGTTCCAAGAAGTGTTGTTATTGAACTCTTTATTTTCTGTTGCTTTTAGGCAAGGCCCAGCCACTTTTGACCAACGATCAGCTTATTGAGTCCTTGGAGCACACGAACTCCTACTGCCTGCAGGGCATTCAGAGCAATCAAAAGACTGGCAGCGATGCAGAGGCTAATGAAATGCGCGTCGAGGAGGTGCCTGGCCTGGAATCAGTTGTGGGCGTGCTAGAAGAGGTCCTTATGTGGCCATCACGGGTAAGATTTTAACAAAAAGTAACTTTATTATAATTTTATATTATAATTCCTATAATCTTTTGCAGTATCCGAGCATTTTCAATGCATCACCGCTGCGCAATCAGGCCGGCGTACTCTTGTACGGACCACCGGGTACCGGCAAGACCTACCTGGTCTCCCAAATGGCCACATCGTGGAACCTGCGCATCATTTCGGTCAAGGGCCCCGAGCTGCTGGCCAAATACATTGGGCAGAGCGAGGAGAATGTTCGCAACCTATTTAACAGGGCTCGCAGTGCCCGGCCATGTGTGCTCTTCTTCGACGAGTTCGACAGTTTGGCGCCGAAACGTGGTCACGATTCCACGGGGGTCACAGATCGCGTGGTCAACCAACTGCTCACCGAACTGGATGGCGTAGAGGGTCTGCAGGGCGTCACCGTGATAGCAGCCACCTCCAGGCCGGAGCTCCTAGATCCGGCATTGCTGCGATCCGGCCGCATTGATCGCCTGGTGGAGTGTCCGCTACCGGATCCGCTGGCCCGGGTACGCATCTTCGAGGCCCTCAGCTCGACCCTCAGCCTTGACGAGTGCGTTGACTTCGAGTGGTTTGCGGGAAGAACTTCGAACTACACCGGCGCCGATATCCAGAGCATTTTGACCTCGGCGAACATGGCAGCGGTTAAGGAGGCGCTGGCTCAATTCGGACACGAGGTTAGTTGAGAATGTGTTGCACTGAAAATGGTTTTGGAGATTAGTTATAGAATTTTCTTGGAAGATAGATTTTGGTTAGATGTTTTCTTGTGTTTTGGAATTGTTTAAATCGCAGCAACAAGTGCTGCCGAAATGTGTTTACGTGCCATGCATTTATATATGGATTCATACCACTTCCGGCCACAAAAGATTCGTATTGATAAAAGTTATTGGTCTCACGCGACCAATTACTTTGGAAGCATTGATAAAATCATGTCGATAAATCGCTAACCTCTATTGTTACTCTTTTGCCTTCCCAGAAACTGCCAAAGAAAATCTCGCTGAAACAGAAACACCTGATCGAGTCCTTTCAAACCACACGACCCTCCCTCAGTGCCTCCGATGTGGCAAAATATCACAAAACGTATGTATATTTGACTTATTTGGTTTTTATTATTTTACTTATACTCAATATTTTATGACAGATATGTTCGCTTTACCAACAAGGAGAAGAACTCCAGGGAGTTTGTAGCAAAGCGCGCGACCTTGGCTTAAATAAAAAGACTTAATTAGCTTAGCTTTATCATTATCTTTAACTGTATTTCGTAACTGTGTAAATCGCACATTAATTTTTTTGGAGGCGCTGTCCTTGGGTTTTGTATATTTCTTAATTCTTCTTGATGAAACATTTAAATCGAATTTGTTTTTATGATGTTGTAATATAAATACGGATCCGGATTGATTTGTTTGCTATTTTTTATTGTTTTATTGACTAGAACGGATCAAGTACTTAATAATAATTAAATTTATTTAATACTGAAAGGATCTGAAATTTATACAAGTGATTTTTATGTTACAAGGCTTACAAAATTTTATTTCACTCCGGCGGCGCCGAAATCCATCGCATTCCGACCTCGGCGAACATGGTGGTGGTTGAGGTTGAGGAGGCTCTGGCTAAATTAAGACATCAGGTGAGTTGGCTCTTATATTCACCGGAAATGGTCTTTAGGTATGCCAACTACTTGGTAGCCAGGTTGGACAGTTAGTCTATCCCACCCGTTTTTCCTACTGTTTCATGTTGGGTTCCCATCGCCCTCAACAAGTGCAACGCAAATGCATTCAACTATTTTTGGGTAGTTTACGTGCCTCGCATCTGGATCAGGATTTCGATCTATGCGGGAGCCAGCGACTGGGATTTTTTTGGATATCAGTCACGTAACGGATATTTCCTTATTGATATGCGATTACCGCGCATGCGCACGTACTGCTGCTGCACACCACTAAGACAATGGACACATTTTCTTTTGCATAAATTAAGCCGCCAAGCAAACAAACAGCACAGGCAGGGTTCCCTACCCGAAGGCCAGATAATAAAGAATTTCAACGAGTCGAAGCCACCGCAAACATGCTTAGAATAAAACCAACAAGAAGAACCGAAGAACCAAAGAACCTTAGAACCGAGCAGCAGTAGAAAGAAAGGAAACCGCTGAGGAAAAGTACAATTACCAGCGAAAAACAATTGCAATATGCGGGAGGGAGACGAGACCACCTCGATCAGGTAGCTATGGTCTCAGGATCCTGGCAAACACCATTACCGAGAATCGTTCGGTTCGGCTCGGATCGTATCGGATCGGATGGATGGGATCGGTTCGATCGGTTAGATCGGTTCGGCACGTTCGGGTTATGCCTCGTAAAAAAAAAAGTTTCTTCCGTTCGATCGTTACTTTCAGTTGTTTGCGCACATTCAAGCCAATCGGTTGGCTTCGCTCGATTCCTCCCACAAACTTTACGGATTACGGTTAGTGCAACGGAAGTGGACCCCCCACTCCCTATATTTCTCCCCGCTTTTTTTTTTTTTGCCTGGTAAAGGCAAATAAAAGTTGGCAACGAAGCGGAAATGCAAGGCGCCTTGCCCTTTCCCTTCTCGAGATTCAAGATTCAAGAATTAAGACTCAAGATTTTTATCCAAGACCCATACGCGATTGACAGGCGAATAAACATGGTGACAATGCTTTTTGTGGTCTCATTTGACTGCCCCAGCTCCTCGCAAATAAAAGACAAAGAACGTGATATTTTGGTCAAAGATTTGGGGTTGTGGCATGGCAGACAAGAATTATATTCCCACTGGGACTGACAAGCGCACCAGTAAAACAAAAACAGAGCCGACAAAAAATAATTTAAGAGCGAAATGTTCCAGCAGTAAAATAAATACAAATCATGTCAAGTGTAGCCAAAAGTTCACAATCAACTGAAAAAAAAGAAACAAAAATGTTTACCAAAAAGCTGTTGAGAATATGTTCCGAAATAAAGATAAAGAAATAAGATAAATAAAGGAAATCAATAATAATTGAATTAAAAAAAAAATGATTTGAAAAATGATAAATAAGGGAATTTTGAAGTGATACATTTAAACAATATATTTTAAGCCAAAAAAACACCCTATGACAAAAAGGCCAACAATAATTTAAAAGTGATTTTAACACATAATTCATTATCTTTGAAGTTAAACCAAACTTCCGCCAGCTTTTTCCATATAAAATGTTTGCAACTGAAAAATAAGTTAAATATATAAATGCTAAATTCCATTTGATGAATTTGCTAAGCAATTCTGCCCCCAAAATAGCTGAAAGACTAAGTTCAAATGTCAAATCGTGTATGCGAATAATAATAATTCACAAGATAAAAAGGTGTGAGCAAAACGATTTTGGCCATGTGCACGCTGGCTTCAAATCGATATGTATTGAACGATTGACAAAATGGGAAAAAAAAAATTAAATAAGAATGGCAATAATACATACTTCAAATACAGCGATCGACTCGTATTTGGCAACAAATGAGAAAAAAGGAATTGAATAAATTAAAACCTGCGACGCGTGTGCATACATAAATCGGGCCTGAAGTCAAACGGCTAGCGGCAATATCGGCTTTAACAAAAACAACAATTACTGGTAGCACTAGCACAATATTAACAACAACAATGACAATCACAATCACAACGGTTGTCGCAAGCCTTACAAACAATAAAATAAATTCATTAAACGGCACAGTGGTTTAAAATCATTTTGGTTGTAAAGTGAATACAAAATCTAATACTTCTTAGAACCAATTTAGATTTTTTTTTTAAATTTAAATACAACGCTAGAAACCAATAGTTTTGTTTAAGAAAAGCTTTGAAATTGGCTTAAGCTAATTAAATTAGTATAGGGAATTTCATTTAAGCCAGAGTTTTTAATTTCTGTGTTTTTTGCCCGGCTTTTAGATTGTGCTAAAAACTTTGAAGTAGCTGTTCAACCAAACTTGCATTCACAGCGTCAACAAATCTGGGGATTTACGCTAGACTTGCATATCATCGTTAACCATTAATCTTGTTTATGTCTATTTGGTAAACATTTGGCGGCTTTAAGTAACCCAAAAAAAACGTATTGTGTTTTGCACTTTATTTGTCTCTCACTTGGCATCAACTAAAATTAAAATGCAATTTAAACTTATAATGTCACATTTGAATAGATATAATTTTAAATGCTGATTAAGAGTATTTGTATATTTGTTTTCAAATTTTATTAGAATTATTAGAGAGAAAAAAATATAGACCCTATTTGGTAGAGCATTTAATATTTGCTTTAGGTGATATTTATATTTGTGAATGCATCATTTGGGTAATTCTCGTTTAGACGTTCCAATTCCTTAGCACCTTGACTGTTTGCATTCAAAGTGCAACGCAAGTACTTAAATATAACTGAAGTGTGTTTAACCACTGTACCGACTGATTTCAACAAATTGTTAAGTGAGTTTCTAACTGTTTGGCTTTTTGTTGAATGGAAATCTAGAAGCGCATGCCGCACCAGCAACAGCAAAAGCATTTGGCGACCGTCGAATATAGACAAGTTATAATGGAGATCCCCGATGGGACTGGGAATCGGATTGGGATCGGGAGTGGGTGGCAACGAGTGTGTCCGGCAATCCAGTGGCTTCGACCACGTCGGCGAGCTCATTACGGAGGCAAGGCACACAGTCTTCGTTTTTTTTTTTCTGCTTCTCCTTTGGATTTTTGCATATTGGTGCGGACAGACTTGACTTGGCTGTGTGCCGTGTTGGCAATAAAATATTAAACAATAATAATAAATAAATAAAATGACACAGAGAGGCAATTGAAGGGGCGATCAAAAGAGAGGGAAAGGGAGAAACGGAGTTTTGGCAATATTTAGCGATCCACTTACAGTTGCGGTTAAAACAATAGCACAAAAATAGCCATGTAACCAAAAAGTAAAATTCCTTAAACACTTATTGGAATTGCCTTATTAAAGCTTTGTCCTAAATAATTTGTTTTTATTTATGACTAACATATAATAATCGCACTGAAGGTTGAAGATTTAGATTTTCTACTTTTAACAACTTGACTATCTTCACTATTTAATTTAAAGATTTAAAGATACAAAATTGATGTACCATAAATGAACAATCAGATGTTCCTAAGAACTTTATTTCCTTCTTATATACTGATCAAATTTGACTAAGTTTTAAAAAATTATTCAAACATTTTTTTAATAGCTGGAGGACACTTAAACTAAAAGAGAGGATTTAAATAAAGGCCTGGCAGATCTATTATTCTGAACGCAACTGTATATCCATACATGTTTGTGCCCATCTAAATACGATCTCTTGGTGGCTGTTGAACTCAAGAGAATCCACTTGAACCATGGCAAAAGTGCCGATCATGCTGATGATCATTGCGCTCGTCTCGGCGACTCCGGACCTGGGATGCGATTTTGGCCATCACCGCTGCTACATTGATGTCACTGCAGAGAGCAGTCCCCGCCAGCGGCAACTCCTCTCCGACATGGACATCACGTTGCAGTGCTTCCAAACCAACGCCAAATGGTTCTATCAGGATAAATTCCAACTGAGGGGTTCCCTTTTGCGCCTGGAACGAGCCCAGTCCGGGAATTCGGGCAACTATGGCTGCCTGGATGGCCAGAACAGATGGTACAATATCTCTCTGATTGTGGGCCACCAGGAGTCAGTGGGCAATGACATAGCCAGCTTTGCCAAGGTGGAAGCTGCACCGGCGATCCTGGAGTCCGATCTCTTCTTTCAGCCGCTTAATGCAAGCCGATCCCTGAAGCTGATGCAACCACTGCCCAAAACCGTCCAACGGACGGCCGGTGGTCTCTTCCAGCTGAGCTGCAGTCCCACGGATCCGGAGGCCACCGGAGTAAACATATCCTGGCTGCACAATGACACGCAAATCCTGGGCGGACGTGGCCGGATCAAGCTCAAGCGCTGGTCACTCACGGTGGGTCAACTGCAGCCGGACGATGCGGGAAGCTATCACTGTGAGCTGTGTGTGCAGCAGGACTGCCAGAGGAGCAATCCCACCGAGCTGGAGGTGGTCAGCCGGAGCCACTCGGTGCCCATGCTGAAGCCGGGATATCCCCGGAACGCCAGCATTGCCCTTGGGGACAATGTGAACATTGAGTGCCTCCTGGAGGACTCTGCCCTGGAGCCGAAGATCACATGGTTGCACAAGGAAAACGTTGACAACATCGATGAGGTTCTGCAGCGGTTGAGGGATCATTCCCAGCTACCGGTGGACTTTATCCGCATGACCACCCGAATGGACGAGCCGCAGATGCTTCCTTTGGGAAATGTCATCGAGGAGGATGGCGGCTGGTACATCTGCATTGCCGAGAACCAGGTCGGACGCACTGTGGCGGCCGCCCATCTGGATCTGTACAGTCCTCTGGATACCACCACACCTCGAGGAACCACTAGCACTACTCAGGCCACTCCCACACCCACTTCCTCCAATGCCGAAGATGCCGATGATGAGGCGGATAATGCGGCAGCGGATGCCACTGATGGCGAGGGTCCGCCTGTCTTCAAAAAAGATCTAAAGCCCCTCCAGCACTCGTTATCCGGAAATACAGTGACCTTGGCCTGTCCCGTCTTCGGCAAAAAAGCGAACATCACCTGGACAAAGGACAAGAAACCACTGAACCGCGAACTGGGTGTCTACATCCAGAAGAACTGGACACTGCGTTTTGTAGAGGCCACCAGCGAGGATTCGGGCAAATACACCTGCGAAGTGTGCAATGCCTGGGGCTGCATCCACTTTGACTTCAGTGTTAAGGTCAACGATCGCACCCGATCCGCACCCATTATCGTTGTGCCGCAGAACCAGACCGTCAAGGTGAACAGCAGCCTGGTGATGAAGTGCACCGTGTACTCCGATCTGCATCCCACGGTCAGCTGGAAGAGGGTGGTGCTCCGGAACGCCTCGCTGAACGGCCTTGAGTCGCTGAAGTTCCAGAGCCTCAACTTCACTGTGACCAACGACTCCGTTGTGCTGGCCCTGCGCAATGTGACCTACGACCAGGAGGGCTGGTACACCTGCTTGGCATCGAATGGCCTGGGCGGGAGCAACTCCAGTGTCTACCTGCGGGTGGTAAGTCCTCTGCCGCCGCTGGAGATCTACGCCCTGCTCCATGCCCATCCGCTTGGTTTTACACTGGCGGCCATTACAGTGGTGGCACTGTTCCTGTTCGGCAGCGCCTTTATAACCTTCATGCTGCGCCGATTGCGGCGGGAGAAGCTTCTCAAGCTGCGCATCGAAACGGTGCACCAGTGGACCAAGAAGGTGATCATCTACCGGCCAGGCGGAGACGAGGGCAGTGGCTGCAGCTCCGGGGATCTGCAGATGCCGGTGATCAGGATCGAGAAGCAGAGAACGACCGTTTCCACGACCGGAACTGGTGGCGCTGATCCTGCCCAGGGATTCAACGAGTATGAGTTCCCGCTAGACTCCAACTGGGAGATACCCAGGCAGCAGCTCGCCCTGGGCTCAATCCTGGGCGAGGGCGCCTTTGGACGCGTGGTCATGGCCGAGGCGGAGGGTCTGCCCCGGAGTCCCCAGCTGGCCGAGACCATTGTGGCCGTCAAGATGGTCAAGGAGGAGCACACGGACACGGACATGGCCAGCCTGGTGCGCGAGATGGAGGTGATGAAGATGATTGGCAAGCACATCAACATCATCAACCTGCTGGGCTGCTGCAGCCAGGGCGGTCCACTCTGGGTCATCGTGGAGTATGCGCCGCATGGCAACCTCAAGGACTTCCTTAAGCAGAACCGCCCGGGTGCTCCTCAGCGGCGCAGCGACAGCGATGGCTACCTGGACGACAGGCCCCTGATTCCCTCCCAGCAACTGGGCGAAAAGGAGCTCACCAAGTTTGCCTTTCAAATCGCTCGCGGAATGGAGTATCTCGCCTCACGACGGGTAAGTTCATGGGATTTTAAGTATTATTAAGCTCTTTGGAGGGCTAAAAACCAATTAAGGAAAATGTTTTCCTCAAAAATCATTTCCTTTTTTAATGACTTATTATATGTAGAACTCAACAACTAATTAATTTGTTGTACAATTTCATAAATACCTATATTAACTTTGTATGCAAAGCAATTATATTACTTTTCAAAATAATGGAACATATTTTGATTTTCTTGTTTTGTGGCACTACATTAATCTTGTAAAATGATAAAGGGCTAGAAATATAATTATTTTTTGTTGCTTAAAACTCAGGCTTGTTATGAATTGAAGAATATTTTCCTGTTGTGCAATAAATTTAAAAATAAATAAAATAAGTAACATATTTATGGATTTGAAGTTGAGTGTAGATTAGGTAAACACTTTGAGCAACAATTTTCAAAACGATGTCTTAATTTAAGCTTTAAATGAAATATTTATATTATTATATATATATGATCTGGTTTTAGTGTATCCATCGGGATTTAGCCGCCCGCAATGTCCTCGTTAGCGATGGCTACGTGATGAAGATCGCTGACTTCGGCCTGGCGCGGGACATCCAGGATACGGAGTACTACCGCAAGAACACCAACGGACGGCTGCCCATTAAGTGGATGGCCCCTGAGTCGCTGCAGGAGAAGAAGTACGACTCGCAGAGCGACGTATGGAGCTACGGGGTGCTGCTGTGGGAGATCATGACGTACGGGGATCAGCCGTACCCGCAGATCCTGTCCGCCGAGGAGCTCTACAGCTACCTGATCACGGGTCAGCGCATGGAGAAGCCGGCCAAGTGCTCGCTTAACATCTACGTGGTGATGCGGCAGTGCTGGCACTTCGAGTCCTGTGCCAGGCCCACCTTCGCCGAGCTGGTGGAGAGCTTCGACGGGATCCTGCAGCAGGCCAGCAGCAACCCGAACGACGCCTACCTGGACCTGTCCATGCCCATGCTGGAGACGCCGCCCTCATCGGGGGATGAGGACGATGGCTCCGACACCGAAACATTCCGGGAGACCTCTCCGCTTAGATACCAGTACACCTATAAGTTTAACTAGTTTAATGCCTAGTCTTGGGAAACCAAGAAAATCCGACGACACAATCAGTTCCCATCGATGCATCGCTAACCAATACTCCATTGCCCATCATCTCAGAAATTGCCAAAGAAAAGCTGAAGCAGAATCTTCTAATCGAGTTAACCCGATTCTCTTAAAACGTATGTGAACACATTGTTTGTATTCTGAAATGTACTTTATTAAACAAGAATTTATTTCAGATATGCACCATTAAGTTTTCATCCAAGTTCGTGACATTGGCTTAAAAACAAAGACTTAATTATCTTAGCATTCCCATTAACTTTAATTGCTCAACGAATCTATGTATGTCGGCAATGTTTTGTTTGAGGTCTTTGGGTTTTGTATATTTCATAATTCTTCTTGTTGAGGCAATAAAAACGAATTTGTTTTATATATATTCTGATGCGTTTTTAAACATTTTTGGTTAAAATTCTATAATTGTAATTATTATTATCATTATATTTGGCTTATAAAGCAACGAATTACCTACAAGCCATAAGTTACTACTAATCAAATCCACTATGTCTTATCTAAAAACAAAAATATTAAAATACAAAGTGTATGGCAGATTACTTATTGGCTAAAAGTTAAGACTTTGATTGCTTTCCCTAGGAGATTTGACACCAGAGATAACCAATACCATTAGGTGTTATCTGCAAGCAACAAGATGAGCTTTTGCTCAGAATAGCATATAAGAATATACGTCTATATATACAGTGATCAGTCTGCGCAAAAATGTTAAGATTAACGTACGCTTGCCTTTGCTTTCTTGCCATCGGAAATGGAATAATAAGTTTCGAAAATCCGTGGAGGCTTTCTCCACTGAGATGGAATCCAGGGTCATCCAGTGTCCGCATGGAGCTCAATCAGTGGCAAGGTCGTCAACGTTTCCTCTTGGACTTGCTGCTGCAAGTGCACAAACCTTTGCTCCACGAGGAACTCATAGCAATGGGCAGCCAACATAACGAAGATCCAAGGCAATATAAAGAAGTAAGCGCGCAGAGAAAATAAATAACACCAATATTGATGAATTTTTAATATACTACATTCTTATGAAAAAATCAAATGCGATAGTTCACATTTAAATTAAAAACAAAATAAATAACAAGGATTGACGTTTACAATAATAAAACTGGTCGACAAAAAAAGCGCAAGGCTAAGCCCTAATGGATTTAAACGAATTTTATCTGCCCGAAATCAAAAACATTTCATCAAGCTTCAGTTTTGAAGAAATCGTGTTCAAAGTATGAAATATTTGAGTTTAAAAACCTTTTTTAAGCTTTATAACAAGGAAATATAATGTGGCTAAAATGAATCGAAACAGCTGTTAAGTTTACTTTTTGTCGACCAGTGTAACGAATAGTCGCAATTTTATAAATTAATAGAAATAATTAAATATTGTTTTCGCTTACAGGGCTCCTGGAGATATTTAAAAGACTTTCTGGAGCGCGTACATCAGAATCGAGTGCCGCAGCCTTTTGGCATCTTTAGTCAATTGGACGAGGAAATGCCTAAGAACCTGCTTGGAGTCTATCGTTTTTTAGTCTTCGCCAAGGATTGGACTTCCTTCCAGCAAAATGCCTGCTATGCCAGGATGCATTTTCATCCCCTGCTCTTTGTGAACGCCCTGCAGTTGGCAGTGGCCGATAGGGAGGACACCAAGGATTTTCGAATGCCAGCCATGTATGAGGTACTGCCACAGCTCTATTTCGAGAAGGAGGTGATCCTGGCGGCTCAGGAAGTTGCCTGGCATCAATTGACTCCCATCAGAATGGTGACACCCAAACGCAGATGGAAGGATATCCTTCTGGGGTTTCTTAAGCCCAGGGCATCTTTGCCGGAAGAGGAAACCATGTCTGAAGATCCCCTCGTTATTGATAACAAAAGAGAATTGGCTTATCTAAGCCTGGATATGGAACTTAATTCACACTGGAACTATCTGATAAACCGCCTGATTATATCCAGTGAAGAAGGCAAGGAGCGTTTAAATGATCACATTATTATAGATGGCGATCGTTTGGTCTCGTTTCGAGGACCTCTCGACGAAGTCATATATAGAAATCAGTTAGCTTTGGGTCCCCATTTGCAGAACTATAAATTATATATTTACAACCTAAAGCAATTTGTGGCGGCCTTGACTATGGAAGACTGGGCAACGGGTCAAAGATCGATGGATCTGATTGATCCGCCCCTGATGACAACCGGTGGAGTTTCCTATCAAGGCACCTCCTTAAACATTGAAGCAGTAAGACGCATCATAGAACTGGCCACAGAAGACCTAAAAGATAAAATTAACGAAGTGCTGAATGACAATGTTAAAAATTATTTGAATAGTTTAGCAATAGCTGGACAAATGATAGCAAATAATTATATTCACATTTGTCGTCAACTAAACCTGGCTGTAAATGGTAATGAGATTAATAAACCAAGTATGCTGGGCTTGGCCACGGCTAACCTTAGAGATCCTATCTACCGATCGCTGCTCTTTCGCTTGAATGAAATTTTAATGAGTTATGAAAATGAGAATCTTTCTGAAAACGGAGAAGAAAGGGTTCCCCCCAAAATAATTGATATCAAAATAAGTCGCCTAATGACTTATGAGGAAAGCGTGAATACGGATCTCATCAATCTGATTGACCAGCAGCTCCTTCAATCGCAGCGAAATAATTTACAATTCCTGCGTCGCCATCTTGTGGCTAAGCAGCATCGTCTCAATCATGAGCCCTTTAGTATTAGCCTGAATATAACAGCTCCAAACGACATGACTCTTCAGTTAAGAATGTATCTAATTTTACCAAATCAGTCAGGAATTCGTTTACACCTGGATACTTTAAAATGTTCTCTAAAAAAGGGAATAAATCAATTCGAACGTCTATTTCCAGCAGCTGTTTTTGAACCCACTCTAAGCGAACTCTATGAAGCCGATTACCCATCAACAGAAAGAACCAATTCTAAGCGTTTTCCCCCACATCTTCTGTTGCCAAGGGGGACTAGAGAAGGGCTCAAACTCCAATTACTTGTGGAGCTCACTACTTGGACTGGCTTGGAGCAGGAGTTTGATGGGGTGTTTGTCCCTGTCCTGGCCGAAACCCTGAAGGATGTGATAATCTTTCATCACCAGGCCTGAAACTATTATGCGATTATATATGCTAAGTGCCCAAACTTCTTAATTGCTACGCATATGTCTGAATAAGAAGGGGATTACGAAGGAGTGGGTTTCATATCAATATAGTTTTCCAAGCACGCACACAATCCAAATTTAAATGGTAAACGAATAAAGTTGTAAAAAATTTCCTTGAATTTTGTATTTACTATATGTTAGCTCTAAAACATATGAACCATAAAAGTTGAGTCCCTGTCTTAGAAAATCAAGTTTATGAACTAACATAATTAACAAATAATACCTGCCATTTAAAATTGAATTAAATTCTGTTGATATACGCATACCCCATTTGAATGAAATATATCTATTTAACCTTCCTACTTGATCATTTCTAATTTCTTTAGCCAACACAAACACACAAGCACTTCTAGTATCCTTTCTGAGGAAAATCAAATAAATGACTGACAAAATGGGACACCAAATAGAATGGGGATTTCAACGCCCCACCACAGAAACTTGAAAACGAACGAAAACGGTTTATTATACGAATGCGATGACAACAAAAAGGCATAATAGTAAAATTAAATGTGTCTATTATGCCAGGCCAATACAATGCACACATAAAACCACACTCAAACCCTGAACTGCCATGTGCCATACAATCATAAATATACCGCAAAAAAATTAAGGTATGCAATTGATCAAAAAATGTCATATTATTAATAAACTTAATACAATACTTAACCATCTTAAGCTTAACAAATCGTGTGTTTTAAAGCTTAATATCTTAAATGTTATAAGCTCGGAAACAATAATTTTCTTCGATCACGAATTCTTTTAATAAAAGAATGTATTCACATATTAAGTTCAAATATTTCTTTATTTAATTATTACAATAATAGTACTACCCTAGTTATTTCTCCGAGTGCCGGCGATGAAAACATTTGGCAGGCAAGAAACGTTTAAGGAAGGATGTCTTGCTTAGGCGGGTGCCAAGTGTTTGAAGTTGTGGAGGATGTGGCTGTGGATGTGGATGTGGCTGGTTTGTCAGTGGCACATTCGCATAAAAACAAATGCACACAATACGACCACCAACAATCCCATTCAATTCCCCTAACAAAAAGCAAGGAGAAAGGAGAAAGGAGAGACAGAAATCGTCATCAAGGAGAAGGCCTCATCTGTGGGTCCAGGCCGGGAAATGGAGTCCTGGTCCTGGGCGTGTTTGTTCCTAGATAAGCGCAATAATATGCACGTATTTTACGGCAACTTACACACACCCCCGCCCACTAAATCACACCACCCATCACACCCCGATTTCGCGGCGAAATTTTCTAAGAATGCCCAAATTTAAATGCGAATTGTTTTCACTTTGTTGGCAGCGGCGCTTTGCCTAATTGACTTTGTGGGTGTGAGTGCTCAACTGCGTTTTTATCCATAGCCCCAAAAATATTATAAATGAAAAAATGAACTGAATAGACGACAATCAGCATTCACTTTTCTTGGCCTTTCTTTCATTTTGTTTGCTTCTAATTTGCGTGCGGTTTATCAACAAAAAAAAGTGGAAGCCTCTTTCCCCACCGAAATCCCCACAATTAAAAAAGCAAAAAGAACGAAAAGTTGTTTCACACTTTGGGGCTTATTAATTTCGCAATTGTTAGAGCCAGATTGAGTTTGGGGTTTTGGGATGAGGATTGGGCGAATGCTTTTGGAATTTTGCTGACCCAATAAAATGCGGCATAAAGAATGGTACTTAAAGTCATGAAATCTGTGAAATTCATTTAACACTTTTAACCTTTTTTTGACTTAGAGAGTCCTGGAATTTTTAAGTTGAAGTATTTTTGGTTTCTACTAATTTCCTTTTTGTTCAAGGGCATTTAAGTTGAGTTTTTGAGTGCTTTTTAAGTTTTCTTATTACTTGAAAAATTATGTTACCCACTGATTTATTAAAATAGTTTTAGTAATTGGAAAAGTACTTAAGAATTTTTAAACAGGTAAAAACTCCTTTATTTTGTATTTCCAAAGAGCCTTGCATATTTTGATGTAGTACATCATATTTTCTTTTCCAGCTTTCCTTGTCATAAAATCTCGAAGGCTGATAAGTGAAAGTCCTTACCGTGAAACCATTATTGGCATCTCCATGTTGACCATTTCCATTCTTGCGGCATTCCTCGGGTATTGTATTTCATTTCCGTTTTCATTATTATTTGTGGCCGTCCGACTTTGACTCCAATTCCGATTCCCAGTGGCTGTTCACGCCCCCATTCTGTTGTTGTCTGCTGCTGCCCCTTTTTTTA